TGGTTGTAGCATGAGAATGAGTTCCACTTTAAACTCCGCGATCATTCGCCAGAAATCATTAACTGTCGATGGCATGGGAAGCTGTGTGGCTAGATACTGATTCTGATGTCTTATTCCATCTACGTAAACAGCAGATAAATAATCACTGTCCTCGTCCGATGCCGGGTATCTTTTCAAATATATTCTGCTGACTTTATCTGCAAAATAAATCTCTTCTTTGCATCTAACGTTGACGATTTAAAGATTTATAATTAGTTATAAATAATGTTAATTTTTTTAGCTTATAATTAGACGAAATTTCATATTTCTTATGTTTCCACGAAATATTTCGATCTGTGAATTTGTTTATTTAAAAAAATTTCAGAAAAGATTCGTAAAAATAATTTTTCACGTACTCTCCTGGATATATGCAAACAAACCTGAAATCAGTTCTGAAAATCTGTTCTTGGCACGGTTACGCTCTGATAAGGACGGTGGAGATGTAAATTGTCGCAGAGCCTCGTCCTGCCACGCAATATTCTGTAGTCTGAGAATTATCGAATTTCAAATTTTTATAACACATTTTTAAAATCAACCAATAAGCCTAATATCGAGGTCCAATTCTTAAAAGATGTACCTTTGCTGTTGAATCGATAGTTGTTTCTTTAACTCCTTGATTCGTGTCGATAACAGATCGTTACACGGTAACGTGGTCGGAATGGAAAGCAAACATTCTACCAATGCCAAATGCGCTAACAGATACTGCTGTTTATTATCTACCATATTAGCTCTCTCGCTCCTGATGGATGCCGTTTCAGCAAATACGTCGACCAGCTGGATAATTTCGTTTTCATCAAATTATAATCTTTTGTATTGTTCGCGGGCTTAAAAAAACACTGAACTCCGATTTATCGATACAAACAACTATCGAATTTATCTTATCTATTTATCTTTATATATATTATCTTTACCCCTTCGGCCGCTGCTCGATGGAGACAAATGTCGCACAGAATGATGGTTCCGGTTCTCCCAACACCGGCGCTGCAATGGACCACCACGGGTCCATTTCCAGGTGGTGTCGCCAATAGTTTTTTTAAATACGTGACTACAGAGTGTGTGTACAAGGGCACACCGTGATCCGGCCAGGCCGTATAATGCAAATGTTCTATCTGTTGTTGATATAGGTATTTAGCAAAAGTCATCGCGATATTGATTAAAAATAGGAGAGCGTACCTTTCGAGTCTCTTCCCCCCAGGTGACTTGAAAAGTTCTGAAGCAATAATCAGCGAAGACGTTGTGCTTTGCGTTTAACACGATAACGTCTCCGTATTTCTTTTTCTTACCAATGTCCGGCCAATATTGCTCGCATTTTGTCTGCAAAATTCATAAATAAATGAATTGCTTAACTGAAAAGGCTAGGTAAAAATAAATATAAACTTGTTTTTTTTCAATTTTTGGTCAGTCTTTACGGTATATTCGTATGTCTTGTAAACTTGATTTAAAAATTTTTTATGTTGTATTCGAATTATATAAAACTAAAAATCTATAGGATAAGCAAAAAAAAGCTTACTTTTCCATTTTCGATTACGTTTGCCAACATGCAAATAATGAGAACATTTTCTTGCCAAATCATGCGCCAGAAATCAATAACTGTATTGGGTTTGGGTCCTTGTGTCGCTATATAACGTTTTTCTTTCTTATAGCCCTATTTTTACAAAGAGAGGAAAGAATAATCATAATTAAAATTTTCAATTTTTTTCTTGATATTTTCTATAAAAATTAAAAATATATATACACAAATATATAATTTCTGTTTCAAAATTTATGTTTCAAAGTTAAAATATTTATTACTTTGATTATGACTTACAGTGATATAATTAGCATTGATATAATCAGAGTAAGCGTCATCCGGAAGTTTCTTTAATATCACGCGCGTTTCGTCATCTGTAAAAACCAGCATAATGTTACCTCGTTATCATGCAAGAATAATGGATGCGAGAGGCTATAATCAATTTTTTACTTACATGCTATAAGATTTCCATATCGATTTTTAGATTTATTCTGCAGCAATTTTCCGTAATCCCACGGCCGAGTTTGTCCCCTTGGAAATGTCTTGAAAGAAAATACCAAAATTATATATTATCATATTGTTATATAAATAAATGATAATTACGAATTGCAGCCAATATAATTACGCGGAGAAACAATTTTTCCTCCATAAAATTTTTTGCATTATAAATATCTTGTGCCATATAATATAAACTTAACGTCCGAGTGTCACGTTGTCGAAAAAATTCCAAGCAATTCAATGTTTGTTTAAGAATTAAAAATCAAATTGGATACTTACCTCGTATTGTTTGTCCAGCAATCCCGACTGTATCGCCTCTCTAACGTAATCCTCGAAATCTTTCACCTTTGTCAACGATGTTATTTCTTTCACTGTCTCCTCGTTCTTCTTTTCGACGGCGAGTGGAGGCACTTCTGGAGTGGTTGCTCGTGATAAGGATTGCCTGTCGGAAGGAGTTGAGAGCTCCTGCTTCGAATTTGATATCACAGACTTGGTCTCGTGTTCATAGTTCTCGATATTCTGCGACAAAACCATCTCGTCTTGCATGGACTGTTTAGTCGATTTCTGTTTCTTCCTGACAAAATTGCATAATGGGAATATAGCAGACGTGAAAAGAATCCGCACTTACAAATCGTAATTTGATTTGTGGCGTCAGCTATATATTTGAAATTTATACTTTGATATATGTGAATAAATATATGGTAGCCAGCAGCACTACTATTAAAATGTAAGATAACATATATTACCTTCGATACAAATAAAAAGCCGCGCCTGCCACGACAAGAAATAATATAATTGGTATGATCCACGCTTCGTGATGCTTTGGTGGAATCTCACCGATACTGATCGATTTTGCAAGCATGATCGGCTTGTTGGATGAACTCCGTTCCGTTACAATAATCACTATTTCGTATGATTCTTGAGATTTCAATGGACAGTTTTTAGCACCACCGTAAATCTGATCGTCGCCGACAATAAATAACTTACCAGCGAGATCACTAGTCTGTCACGATTAAAAGCAACATTAAAAATCTTTGATCTCAGAAAAACAAGAAATAATATAATATTAATATTATAATTATAATGTATTAGTATGTGCGTTAATCTATTATCGGTAGTTAAATATTAAACATTTTTTTTTTTTAATAATTGTACTCATTCGATTAATATTTAATTATTATTACGCGTATTGCTTTTTTACTTACATTTTTTAATATAAACTTTACGAATATTATGAACGTATATACATACCGAAACCTCAGCAGCTTGCCAAGCGATATCATACATTTTTACGTTTGCTTGAGAACGCAAATTCTCAGGTACTTCTGAATGTTGCTTACAGACATTAGGGCCTTTTACGATGATATGCATCTTACTGTCGTCTGTATCGTTCAGGACAGGTGGTATATTTAACGAGATCGTAGAATAAAATGTATTGACCATGACCTTTAGGTCGCCATCGAAACCTATGGTTGAAGGCGTTTGTATTTTTACGCACTCAGGTTCGCTGGCCACGTTCGCAACTGTCACAGCTTTAATGCAAATTCGGTACTGCGTTGATGGAAACAAATATAATCGCTCGCTATAGTTACGCATGTAATGTGCCACCGGATATTCGTATACATCGTTACGTAGCGATCGTGAAACGAGCCTCTGTTTTTTCAGGTTGGAAGAAATTTCTTGTATCCAAATATGAAAAGATTGCAGATGACCACCTGTCTTCCAAGGATGATACCATTTCAACTTAATTATACTATTGTCATTAATTGTAAAAGTGTAATTTCCAGGTGGATCTGGCGCTGAAAGATAATTTGATAGAAATCTTTGTTATATGTAAGCTTAAGGGGTCTCCTAGTTTGACATTCTGAAAATAAGGCGGTTTTTGGGAATTTTTTTGGGGAACAAACAAATATTTTTGTTTGAAAAAAAATTTAGGATATATTTGAAATATTATTTAATAAACGTGCAAAGTTTAAAATTAATATGTTTTATACTTTTCTTTAAAAAAATTCCCAAAAATCGCCTTTATTTTCAGAGCGTCAAACTAGGAAGAACCCTTAAGCTACAATTTATTTTAAGAAAATTAAGGAGAATCTCTAAACAGTCATTCGTTACGTAATGCAATTTAAACAATAAAAAAGAAATTGATTATTTGTTAACGCTTTCTGAACGACCCTTATTATTAGTCGTTATTTGTAAAAATATGTTAGTTACAACAAGAATAATTCATAAAATATAATAATGCATAAAAGTTATTTTTAAATTATATAAATTAATTAGTTTTAAAACACAAGAGAATTCATAATGCGCCAAGATTCCAAGATTGATTGTTGAGGAGGAATCTTACTTGTATTACTAAGCATTTGATCAGTTACGAAAACCGAAGGACTTGGTTCAGTAACATTCATATTGTACGCCAGAACCTATAAAAAATATATATTTCATATTCTATAAATTTTTTTACATATCCGTTTCTTTAAATTTCCTTTTGTTTATATAAATTAATTATATTTTCTAGAAATATTATGCAAAAAATTTCCTACTTGAATTTCTGCACTTCTAGATGGTTCTTGAATAGTTTGGCATATGTAATTATCCCACAAGTCACAAAACTCATTCAATTGAACTTTAATAGAGAGACAATTTTTCTGTTTTCTCCGATTTATTGTGCATGATTGAATTGTATAATAATGCAGTTTTCCGTTGAGGGGTGGACGTGGACTCTGCCATCTTAAATGTATCATTGCAGGTACTTGACGAGTGTCAGTTTCAACGACCTCCAGATTGATTACATTAGGCGGAGCTGTTATTTCGATCATGTTGTATAATCTTATAGAAATCAATTTGATCTAAAGTACAAATGAATTGTAATATGAAATTTTACCCGTTGGTGGAGTTTCAAATTCATATTCTTGATAAGCGAAGACATTTTCTAGGCTCGTGTAATCTCTTATTACGTAAACTGTTGCCATGTATCGTTCAACACCGTGTAATTTTGGTTCGATTTTACCTAAATCGAGAGAATAAGACACAGTATTTTTAGTTATAATAATCCTATCTTTAACAGCGTTGCTGATTCCGCGTATTTTTATCTTAGCTTTAATTGGTCCCGAAATCGTCGTGCAATCTTCAGGCGGATGCCACGATAGTTTCCAGCCTTGCACTTTTAGCTGACTAAATACTTCTGTTGGTATCTCTGTAAAGTTGTTGACAGTCATTATTTATTGTCATCAACTTGTGTGTGCACGTACCGTTCATTTAACGTAATATTGTAATTAATTCTTACTAATCCTAGAAACATACTTTCTATTCTATAATATTTGTTTAATAATTAAATACAAAAATGCACGCGATGCAATGAGGATAAACTATTTGGAGAGTTTTGATCTAATAATTAATTACTAATTATATTCTTTATATAAAAGAAAGAACTTATGATTATTATGCTATTATCGCTTGTGGAGAAATATAAGCAGGAAATTTACCATTCTTATTATAAAGAGAAATATTTTGGGAAAAAAATTAATAAATAATAAATTAGATTAACTCATGCTATTTTATCTTTAACTTCAAAGATAACTATGATAAATAATAATGTTTATATATACCAGAAATATTTGTATCAAAGTTTATCTCTGTATCCATGCTATTATATCGTGAATTATGAGCTATGACCTGTACGCTATAAGACACGTACGGACTTAAATCCGGAATTGTAATTGTTGTATCATTTGTGGATTTAGTAATTATGTGATTATCTGGCGTAGATAACTTTAAGTCTTTACAGCCGTAATATTCTTTAATCTGTGAACAATAGAATGCATTTCAATAATACTTGAATAATAATAAAAATAAAATAATAAAATATCGAAAAGAGTTAAAAAATTAACATTAAGATAAAAAATTAATATTACAGTTCAAGTTAAAATTAAACATATATATTACTTTGATGATTTTAATACTGATTTTATAAGATTTTAAAAAACATAAAACTTTATTATAAAAATAATAATTTAATATAAAAACATAAAACTTTATTTTGAAGTGTAAATTTAAAAATTATTTCGGTTAATAATCGCTTTTCTACTTATATAAATTTCTGATATATAAGCTTATATATGTATGGTGTATGGGTACATAAACTGCATTTTTACCTTTAAGATTACTTCATATCGCACTATTTTTCCATTAGGTTGATCGGGAGGTCTCCAAATCACAGTAAGTGTATTAGATGAAATCATCGCTCGCAAATCTAACACTCTAGATGGAACTGTCAATATTTTTATAAAAATTATTTATAAATAATGCTATTAATTTATAAAATATTATTCTGCATAGCACGCAAATACATAAAAGTATATCCATATAAATATACAAATTTCCAACTGTAGATATCTTTAAAATTAATCAAATCAAAATTAAAATTAAATCAAACTCACCGCTCTCAAGTGTACGAATCTGCTGGGAAAATAGCTTGACATTTTTATGAAATATAGATACATTGAAAGAAGTGTATGATGTCAACCGTGATAAGTTACGGGGAAAGTACGTAACTTGTTCATTAATGACTTGCTCATCAGTATCTATATTTCGAACTATCAAGCGATACCAATTTGCTGGACATCGATATAATTGCTGATATAGAGGAATAAACACATTATGTTTTTTTTTTTCTAAATATTGTATAGTATTTACGCTCAAAAACTTTTTAAATAGTAAAATATTTACGTACATCATTATTATTATACCAGTCGATTCTCAAGCTGGTTTCGCCGGGCTTCACATCAAAGCCTTCAACCGCTAAATCAATGTAAAAAGAAGTATTATAGAAAATATACAAAAAAACATAGATAATAATTTATAAAAAATTAGAATAATATTTTTATTCAAAAGTAATGAAAGACAAAAGCGTAAGACAAATTAATTTAGCTTATGTGTGTGTAGTGTAACTTTTTACATTTGCAACCATATCAGTCTATATAAAATTTCTTCTAACTTAAAGTATCTAATTTAAGTTTGGCATAAAAATACAAAGTAATAAAAATCTCGATGTTAATAAATTTAAAATATATTATATGTATATAATAAAATATTTTATATATAATAAAAAAACATTGAATTTTATACAGTCTAAATAAACATCAAGTCGCACTTACGATTGCAATCCGTCTCAGCATTTTGCCAAGGACTGTATATTTGAGATCCCGTAACATTTAAACAGCAATTAATCTCATAAGTAGTACCGGGTGCTAAGTTTTCAAAATTTCCTATCAATTGTGTCATATTCGGAAATACCTTCATCCACGATAGGTAAATCACATGATTAGATTCTATTTGTCCCTGTGAAAAATATATTATAGAGTTACTTTCTTTTCTTCTTTCTTTTTGAATGTTAAGAAGTATTATTTTTCACATATTTTTGTCAATAATATTATACATTTTATTTAATTAAGGATAGATCACGGAGCAAGATTCAATATTTTGAAGAATCTCGGATAATATTAAATGATATTTACTATAAGGCAATAATAAGAAATTGGTATTTCTTCGTACTCTTTTTTCCATTTAAAAGTAATAATGGCCTGAATATTCGTACTGTTTGCAAAGTTAATCACAGGTTGGTCCAGATTATCTATTTCTGAAAAAAATTATGGTAAAATTGCATAAAAGTTAAAACACACCTCCGATTTTATCGCTACTTAAATATATTGGAGGGGAGGTTTTTCTGAGTAATTCTTCACAAAAAATAATTGGGGGCCGGTATTGATTTAGAAGATATAACAAATTGAAATTTGACATTAAAATATGTGTATGCTGTATAATTTGTTATTTTTTCATTGAAAAAAACTGTTTATGACATTTATGCGTAGGACTCTGCCCCTCTCCCGCCTATGCATTCAATAAATAATTTTTTTTAAACAAGACTCATAAATTCATGTAGTTGCATGTCGAAAGCTGTTAACAAATTACGAGAAATAGGTGAAACACATTATTGATAAATATCCATGACCATGTACCTATCCCGTAAATGAAAACAAACACATTTTCCTCGTCTGCTCTACAATAAATACAAAGTACACAAAAACTTTTTCTAATATTACTTTATAATACCTGAGAAAAAGCATTAAATAATTTTTTTTAAACAAGACTCATAAATTCATGTAGTTGCATGTCGAAAGCTGTTAACAAATTACGAGAAATAGGTGAAACACATTATTGATAAATATCCATGACCATGTACCTATCCCGTAAATGAAAACAAACACATTTTCCTCGCGTCTGCTCTACAATAAAAAAATACAAAGTACACAAAAACTTTTTCTAATATTACTTTATAATACCTGAGAAAAAGCATTAAAACTGTGAAACTTTAATTTGTTATATCTCTCAAACCGATGTTGTCCCCCACTTATTTCTTGCGGAGAATTATGCGGAAAACCTCCCTTATAACATATTTAAATGGCGATAAAATCGGAAGTGTGTTACTTTTTATGCAGTTTTACCAAAATCATTATATTACGTTTTTTTTGCATTCAAACAATGACATTAGTTTAATTAATATTAAACAAATAGCATAGTAGTTATGTATCAAACATAAAAGATAGTTACTTAGTTGGCATAAAGGTGGTATGTAAAAATTTTGGCATCCATTATAACACAATCCAGTTATTTTGTTACATGGAGATCGTACATTAATTGAAGTTTTGTCGCGGCATGCGCCACATTTTTTCTTGCAACCATAACCATATGTATACGATTCACAAGCTAAAAACATCGATTTATTAAATATGCACAAGAGCATTACGCAAGACGAAAAGATAAATAACTTCGATAATATAATAAGTTACATTTACATTTAGAACAAGTGCTTTCCGAATATCCCGGAAGACACGTGCAACCATCTTTATAACAAATTGCAGTTTCCTTGCAGTCAACGTAGCTATCTAGATCAATTTTGCAAGAGATCAAACATTGCGGACCAGTCTTTCCTTGAGGACAATCTACACGATCTGAAAGGAACTTTTTCTTTTTCAAAATATTCGTTTCAAATATGCCATCCTCTCTCTAAAGAATTAATAAACAAAAATGTGATATTATTAATTCCAGTCACAAAACATAAGTAATAGTTCTAAATAATTACCCAGTTTCACGTCTGGCTTGGCATCTGATATAGAATTCACGACGATATGATTATTGTAAAACAATTTTTGACATGTCGCATTCGGCCAAAAATACCCTTTATCATAGTTCTCCCAATCTTGATTATTAACCATATAACTCCATCTTAATGAATCTAAACGTGATAGTTAAGCGAATTATATATTGGAAATAATCAATTTCTTTAAAGATTTTCACAATCGTTCGACAAACATATAAATCAAATATTTAATAAATTTTTAATAAATTTTATAAGGATTCGTACTATTTGTGGGACATCGACGAACATTTGCTATCGCCCATAATGGATTAAAACTAGGCGTGTTGAGTTTAGGAATCACTTGGATTATCACATTAGTATAACTTGTCGTTGAAAGATTTTTCTTGATTTGAACGGATTGCCACATAGGCAAGCCATGAGCCGCTTTCGATGAGCCCATTGCAATCACCGTTTCTAACACTTTGTAATTTGTGGAATCACGTAACACTACATGTGCATCGCATTCTGCACATAGGCCGATTAACATTTGTACACATATTGTTTCATTACCGACTTGGACGATGGGACTCGTTAAAACCGCACTGTCGAGAGTTGTGTGCAGAAAGTTGTCTGAAATACATATTCGCGGATAAAGTTTCTTTTTTCGATTACTTTATTTGAAATAATTATACATATGATTGATTAAAATATCTTGAAACTTTGCACCTACATATATGAAAACGAAACAGAATTTCTCTATTGCTTTTAATGAACATGTGATAATCGATGCTGGAAAATTCAGGCTTTCCCACGTCCTCGTACGTCATAATAACGTTATCAGTATCATAAACGGATATATTCCGAGTTACAGAGTTCCACGTAATGACAAACGATCGCCACTCAATTGCAGACAACGGCATATGCTGTATTGATCATCAATTAGTTTTAGGTGAAGTTTTGCAAATTTATGCAAATTTAAATTCTTAAAACGGTATCATAAATGATGACACACAATAGTCATAAATTTAATTCCTTTTTCGGTTTATATATTTTACAAGCAAGTTTTTCAATTATCTAAATAAGAGAAAATAGCTTTAAGCGACAAAGTTATGGTGTTATATTTTACCTTGAAAGATACTTGTGCTTTGCTGCAGTCTGAATTTAGTTCGGGAAATTTTCCGGCTACAGGCACTCCCGTCGCGCATTTTCGTATGACGGACAAAGTATTGTCCCAACCACCTATTATAATCCAATAGCAAAGGTCTCTGTTATAATTCGTACCATTACAAAGCAATATATGCGCGTTATTAGATCCACGAATAGAAATGGAAAGCATTGCTGTAATATTTTCGAGATTTACGTAATCATATCTATCTTCAAGATTGTTTGCATATTCTTGAAATTCTGAAAATTTTAAATGCGTGTTTCTTAAGGCGATTTTAAAACTATTAAACATTGTAATGCATTTTACAGATATCAAAATTATTTGTCAAACTATTTTGCACTTTTACCTTCCCATCGCTGATCAAATACCGGACCCATGGGTGTTTTGAGAGAATTCGTGAGACTCCAATCCTGTTGTACCCACGATTTTAAGCAATCTTCGTCTGCATTCATTTTGCAATTTATTTCGCAATTTGGAACACCTCCATTTAAATTAAAAAATCCTGAAATAGTGCACTTACGTACTTAATGCATTGTCGCAAATATTAGGATAAAGCTAAATGTTTGTAAATAATTGGTTAATAGACAAAATACAATAAGAATTCCAAAATATATGTTCAAATGATGAATACAATCTTTTCTAGCATTTACATAAAGTTGTAAAAGATCCATATTTTTATTTTAATAACTTACGGTTATTGTTATGTCTATTGTTCGTGTAATATCGCCAGTTTAAATTGTCGTTCCACACTAGAGCGCCGCCGTCGTCCTCTGAGATGCATATTAATTTTCTGATGGATGATGAATAGATTTTTGGCGATCCGCGTAATACGGTCACTGTTTCGGAAATATATAGCATCTGACTCGCGAAGAGAAAGAACATTAACGCTTCCATTATCTTTTTTCTCATTGTCAACAAACACATACGTATTATTCGAACATTTAACGATCATTAGAGAAGACACTGTGACAGAAAAATATTATGATACTATGATCATCTTTTTTCATATCGCCATTTTAAAGGCCTTCAACTAAATTATTGAGTGAAGCGAATTATTCTGCGTATTGAACATACATTGGAGCGAAATGCGTAAAAACGAATTACGATCATTTATTTGAAAGATGCAAATGCATTTTAGCAATCGGATTTAAATAAACAACAAAATAATAATAAAATTAATTTTTGTTAAAACAATTTGAGCTTTACACTCCACTGGTTCAAACCACTGGACAACAGTGGTTTCAGGCGGTAACTGGTACGAAAGGAACTCTACTTCCTTCTAGTGAATCCGCGATAACAGAATCCGTATCTAATAAATACGGCTGACGAATCAGGAAGTGACGATTTTACAGAATGTCTCTATATCATTTTCTATACTAAATTACTGAATAAATTATAACAAAAAATATTATAAGATAGAAAATATTTGATAATAATAGACAAGAATATACACATATAATAACGAAATATGCATAATAATGCACAAATGGTATAGTTTATTTCCATACAATTCTTTTTTGTTGTTAAAAAACGCATACTTTCCCTGATATTTGTAAAAATGTATAAAATAACCGTGATTTCAGACGTTTTTGGGCGCTAATTGTTTAAGGAAGCATTTTTCGACCCATGGTTACCGGAAACTTTTTGTTCGGTATTAAATTATCTTTCAAATGAGATCAAAATGATTGTAGTTTGCTCCACAGGTTTTGAAATAAACCAGTTAATAACCAATTTCAAATGCACCGAAAAGTGTTTTTTTCGGCTATAGACGGTTGTCAACATATTTTTATGTACTATATAATATATATACGCGGAATATTAAAATATAGACGAATACTTTAAATTACAGATTATATATTTTTATTAAAAGAGATTTATCACGAAGCCTTTCGTTATACTAATTTCTTGATTCTTCGATTCGATTGTTTAATTTTTTGCGTGTTCTCAATCCGAATTATATTTAAATAATCGAAAAGTGTCGTACAATAAAACATTGGACGAATATATTTAATCCTTTTATAAATCTAAACTTTAACTAAATTTATATATATATTAAAAAGTTAGAGGAAGGAATGAAAAGTTAGAGGGGGTCCCATAAGAATTTGGAAAATTGCCAAATTAACGGACTACCTAATATATATATCTAAAAT